TATATATATATATATATATTTATATATTTATATTAAAACAATTGAAGATCTATAGAATTAATATCTATAATACTCACTGAGGAGCATAAGTTACTACAATAAAAAGTATGTGGGCAAAATTAGCAACTGGGTATCTCAACATGCATGTTGTAAAAATGTATGTATAATGATAATAAATATAATGTTTACAGTTAAAACACATTTCATTGTACATTCTGAATATCTTATTTCATTCAATATGAAAAAAAAAAGATCACAATGCAGCTATCAGCGAAACAATTTATGTAGACAGTCTTTTTGAAATTCCTCACAATTATACTTCCTTAAAAACGAAAAGGAAAGTTAGAATTTAATTAACTTTAAAATTAAAATTAGGAAGAAAAACCAATGATGATGTAAGAAACTTCTAGTTTAAGGAAATAAGTCTAACTACCAACCAAATAAAATAGAATGAATAAATATTATTCAGATACAACTTTTTTCTAGAAAAAAAATAACTCTGATTTTATTGCTATAAAAATTAATATTGCTTTTCTCACAAGTTAGGTGAACTTTTTTCCTTTAATGACCAAAAAATTACAATATTTAATATGTTTATATTAAAAAAATTTTCATTAGCTACCATACAGAAAAAAACAATTACAAAAGTCAAAATGTTCAAAAGATATTAATAATAGATGTACCATTTAGACAACAGAAAACATGTTTACCAAACAAACAATCCAGTGTAAACATAAAGTATATAAAAATAGAGGCAAGGCACTGACAAAACAGAGACAATTGTTTACCATAGAGTAAAATCAATTTCATTTTTTTTTCTTTTTGCATATTTTGCCTTGTAACTATAAGCAAGTTATGATCCTTTGATAACTCAGAAAAGAAGACTAGAACTTTGTAAAGGGTGATAAAACATTTAAATTAAACAGGTTATTAAAAAATTTAACAAAATAATATAATATAAAATAAACACCTAGAATATTTCTGCACATAACGTACTGATTTATTTCTCTGTATAAAGATTAGAATATGTCTGATCTTGCAGTTACATGAAAAATGTATATTTGCAAGGGTGGACAAGATAGAGAAATGACTAATTTTGAATCTTGGAAGGAGTCATGCACAATTTATGGTAACCAACAATTTTGTTTTTTTAATCATGTTATTGCTACACACATTTTAAACTTGGCTTTATAATCTTACAGAAATATCATAAAAATCATCATTCAAAATTATAAACTAAGGCATATGTTAATAAATAATATTAGATAACTGATTTTGCCACTATAAATATATCACTGGAATATAATCCATCAAAACTGGCCAAGGAAGATTCGAGCAGGCTGTCTTTCTTATGATAAGATTTGTTTACAACTTAGAACATGCTGTGAATAATAACTCTGCATACTTCCAAATGTATAAGTCCTGGTACTGTACACCATTCAATACTACTTTCTCAATTCTTACACAGAGCTTATTTTTATTTTTTTTTTAACTGTCTTAATTCATTTTAGGTGATACGAGTCCCTCTATAAAAATCACATTGCCTTCAATTTTTCCATTGCCTAGATATAAGTGGGCGGAAAAGGTTACAATAGCACTTACTAATATGTTTATTGTACATTATGGATTAGTTGGACTGCCTGGACTAACTACACAGCTCATAAAATAGAACATAAGCTTCAGAAGAAACCACTTCATTTGATCGTGCACTTGATACCCTGTGGGGGAAAAAAATAATGTTTTTTGTATAATATTACTTTTTTGTATCAGAAACATTAAGTCTGGGATTATGATTACACAGTTTTTTAAATCCTATGCAATATGGTATGGTCACGTAACAAGAAAACAAGGGCTTGCAAAGAAATCATGCAGGGCACAACAAGAGGAGGGAGAAGAAGAGGAAGACAGAGAAAAAGAAGGGAAGACAACATCAAAGAGTGGATGGGACCAAAACTAGGCGATGCTGTGCGAAGTGCAGAAAACAGAGAGGACTGGAGAAGGATAGTTTTCATATCATCTGTGGCGCCCCAACGGTCCAAGGACTAAAGGATATGATGATGATGATGAATAATTTGCTATGTCCTCCATCTGTACATGAGATGACATAATTAGGGATTTAACAAAAATTGAAGTGTAAATCCCACGTGGTAAAAAAAGTGAGTGCCATAAAGTAAGCGGATGAACCACGTGGGTAGAGTTTACGATAGACACCACAAGCTTGGTAGCATGGTTATCATTTTTAAACCAAGGAAGAAAGATGAATTTCAAAGAGTTTAGGCCACATAAGGCGGCAAAAGGACAATAATCAGAGATGAAAATACATGGGTGCATTAAAGTTTTGGCTTTAAAATCTAATTCATAAAATAGAACAGTCATGATACAATTAATTACTTATCCACTTTCTTTTCCAGCAATACCAAATGAAGCCTTTTGTGATTGTTATTAATATTATTATAGTTGTTTTATATAACGTGGTACCCCAGCCTAAGGCTGGGCTCACCATGTTGTACATACAATTAAACAAACATAATCATGAACATAAAAAAATTAATTAACATACATAATTAAATAAAACAAAACAAATGTATATTCACTCCACCCAATCCAGAACTATTTACATGTCAAGCCATGGACGACAGGCAGCAGCATCGTTTATGGTCAGAGGGGGGAATCAGTCAGGATAGTAGAGTTTAAAGAGATGTGCAGTTAGGAAGGCTGTGATGGTGGGTATATTGCTGATGTGTAATGGAAGAGCATTCCATTGTTTGGGGGCACAGAAAGATCGTTACCCGTATGTTTTTGTGCCAGTCTTAGAGATAGAAAGAATATGCGTGTCTGCAGAGAAGCAAAGCTGTCGAAGGGGTGAATGGACAGAAAGAAGTTCGGTTAGATAGGAAGGGCAGGGATTCGAGAAAAATTTGTGGCAGAGAACAAAGAGTTTGTAGTCAATCCCTGCATGTACAGGAAGCCAATGAAGTGAATAAAGTATTGATGTGACCTGATCATGTTTTTTGATACAGTTAAGATTACAGGTTTGGCTCACCTTGAATCATTGAACAAAAACCACTCTGACGAGTAAGGGTTTCGGCAGTAAGCTGTATAGTGACCCGAACTCGTTCCCCCTGAATGATTAGACACAGCGTACAGGTCATAAAGTACACGGCGCCCACCTGAAACACCCTCAGCAGCAAAATCTGTCAGGTCAAGGCCTTTGATGGGAAAATCAACCAAGGTGGTCAGTTTCCGTCCAAATCTTTCCTGGCTAAACCGTTTCAAGTCTGATCATTTGGTTAAGGTAATATGCACATGGATGGATAGATGATGCTGGGAATCCAGGCATGGAAAAGAAAAGCATTGGTTAGGTCTGAGTGGAAGGAATTAGTGAGGCAGGCCAAAGCCCTACATGGGCTGTAGCGCCACAGGGCTGGATGGAATATGAACAGAAACAATTGCAAAAAAGATTGAATTATAACGAAACAATACTTCTCAAATGGTCAAAGGCTACTATTTATCTATATTTAAGAATAATAACATTACAACTGCCATAATTTACATTAATTCTAGTATATCTATACACACAAAATTTAAAGATATTTATCAAAAATGAAACGTTTGAATCTCTTATATAATTATTTAGTAAAGAAATATTTGTGTTCTCCACTGAATCAGCTGTTTCTTCACTAAAGAAGCAACCCCTAAAAATGTTTTTTGTATAATGGAGGGGAAGGGGTGGTGAAAATTTGACAAAACATGTATTCAAGTAACGCACTTTATAGGAATCCCCATTAGTGCTCCCCCACAAGCCTCGCAAATGCACATTTTTTTCATGCTCCTAAACTATTTTAACATTCTAATTTCACACCCGCTTTTACAAATTTATTTCACCATTTCAGTTTCAGAAAAAAAGGGAAAATAACGTACATAACGCACTTGCGATATTTTTTAAAAATTTAATTTAATTTTGTGCATTCAATTTCCTTCATCTTCCCTTAAAAAAAAAACAGGAAAAACTTATTTTTGAACATCAGGGTGGGGTGGGGGGCTGAAAATTTCATAAAATGTGCTGTCATTGACGAGTGAATGTGCCAAGTTTCAGTTCCATAGATTTATGGGAAGTGGGACAATTAGCTGTCCAAAGATTTTCCCAGCCAGAAGACTAAGAAGAGATGGAGATAAATACTGCTACAGTTATCTCCAGTTAATAAAAATTATTTTAAAAAAAACAATGTTTCTTTTTGAAATGTTAATATCACTCATTTCAGTGAAATATCCATTCATGTCAAAGGATACGTAAAACAAGGATCTTGGGAAAACGTTGAATAGAAAAACTTTTGGTGCATGATCGCCGGCTTTTACACTTTGTACACATCTGCAAATAAAAAAAAAAACAGTTTAAAGAGTTTAAATTTGAGATGCTTCAACTATTTAATATCATACCTTTTTGGGGTGCTGGTTCTGAGGGCTTGGATTAGAAGCTTAAAGCTGTTGTCAATGGCTTGGAATACAAGGGATAGAGCTGTCATCAATAAAAGCAAAAAAATAAATTTTTGTCTTTATTTTTTAAAATATTATGGGTAGCTATAAATTGGCGACTATTCATTTAAACTGACCGGCCTCTCCTCAGCAGCAAGCTCCTCCTCCTTCATAAACAGCTTCAAACAGTCTTCTAAGTTCACCTCATGACGATTCTAGAAAACAAATGAATTAAAAGTTTTTCAACACTTAAATACGAGTATTTTTAACGCACAGGGAAAATTCAAATATAACTCTTATTAGAATAATGGAATCATTATTACTTTGCTTGTAGGATCAAATGATATTAGTCCAGTTTTGATAAAGTAAATTTTATTACGAAGGAGCCTAATAGCTTGAATGAAAAAAAAAGACCTTACCTTAGGAATTGACAGAGACAAATCCCAAAAAGGATCAAAGGTCACAGACCGATGGCTGCATTGAGAGAATTTTAGCTCACTTTTCAGTTGGCCGACAAAAATGTCTATCAAATGAAAGGAGAAGTCAATCAATTATTATGGATTTACATTTTCCTTACAAGTCATGGGGCCTATTTGCTTTATTGCTCCTGATTTAACTATAATGAGCATAAAATAAATCCATTAGATCAATTCCAAAATAAAGAAATGTTTTACTTTATCATTGGTTTTCAATTTAATTGACACATTTCAGTGCTTTCTAAATTGCAACACAAATCCTAATTGATATGTATTATTGCATTATATTAAAAGTGACAGAATCTCTCACCAACAATCATGCTATTGTCCCTGTTCAAATAAGCTTTCCAGTATTCTTGTGCTTTGCCACTATCCCTGGATAGAGAGAGATTTTTTGGCATTAACATTGTTTCAGAAATACAGCAGATAATTTAGGAATTATTCAAAGAAACATGACAATCTAAGTCTATGGTTTTTTTTTTTTACATTTCAGTATTTAAGTATTAATATTGTAGTTTCTAAATGTTGGTCATGTGAAAAATGTCTGATTGATGTGGAAAAACCCCAACCTCTTGTCTCCACGTGAAATATATGACTGAGCTGAGTGTAAGCTTTAGTGTCACAAGGCCACAGATTTCATTTCAGTTAACTGGTCATTCCAGAAGATGGCTACTAAATTAACATCCTTCCATTACACTTACACTTTTTTCTCCAGCTGATCATCATCAAGTATAATAGGTGCCTGCTTTTTTGTAACCCTGTTAACATCTTCATGAAGGCCTTCAAGTAAGTACCTCAGAAATTCTTGGCAGTCTTGTTGGCTATTGTAATATAAATATAAATGGACAACAATTATTCAGGATACACAAGTAACAAAACCAGACTTTCTTAATGATAATATATTATTTTTTCAGTATGCTGTATAAGTCATCTCACAAAGGAGTCAATGGGGCTTTGTAAGCCTCAGAGGCATTTTAACCCATGAACTGTGGTCAGCCAATATTTTTATTCGGTACTGTCGGCCGAAAAATTGGCCGATAAAAAAATACGGTCAGATAGCAACTTCCAATCCAATATTTAACCAGAATTATAACCACTTCCTTTTATTACTAATTAAATCATCTTCCGGGTCAAGATGTTTGTTGATAAGTTAACAATAAGTCCATTTGAATCAGTTTGTTGATAAGTTAACAATAAGTGCATTTTAATCAGTTTGTTGATAAGTTAACAATAAGTACATTTTAATCAGTTTGTTGATAAGTTAACAATAAGTACATTTTAATCAGTTTGTTGATAAGTTAACAATAAGTGCATTTTAATCAGTTTGTTGATAAGTTAACAATAAGTGCATTTTAATCAGTTTGTTGATAAGTTAACAATAAGTGCATTTTAATCAGTTTGTTGATAAGTTAACAATAAGTACATTTTAATCAGTTTGTTGATAAGTTAACAATAAGTGCATTTTAATCAGTTTGTTGATAAGTTAACAATAAGTGCATTTTAATCAGTTTGTTGATAAGTTAACAATAAGTGCATTTTAATCAGTTTGTTGATAAGTTAACAATAAGTACATTTTAATCAGTTTGTTGATAAGTTAACAATAAGTGCATTTTAATCAGTTTGTTGATGAGTTAACAATATGTGCATTTTAATCAGTTTGTTGATAAGTTAACAATAAGTGCATTTTAATCAGTTTGTTGATAAGTTAACAATAAGTGCATTTTAATCAGTTTGTTGATAAGTTAACAATAAGTACATTTTAATCAGAGTTTTATATCAGCCGTTTTTTTAAAGCTAAAATAGTTGAAGCTATGGATGGACCTTCAGTACGAGAACTAATAGAAATATTTTTGAAAGCTTTTTACTAGTCCTAGTGATACTGAAGTAGGCCTACTGTTAGACTCGAGCCAGGCCCGGAGGATGGGCCAGGACTGACTGAATTTTAATCACAGAAGTTACAGATTATAGATCAGAACTAATAAATTTTATAGTTAGACAACTCAAATCAGTTCCACAGTTCCTTTTTAAATGTTTACTTGTCAATAACTTTTTTTGGTTGAGATTTTGTATGTTGTACTTTCCCCAGTTTATTATTTTTTTCAGTAATAAATGACCTAAAATTACTAAAATTTCTTTCAGAGGCTGAATTGTAATCGAAACCTTAGCAAACTATACATTTTCTGAAAGATAAATGAATTGGCTACCACATTTATAATTTAGTATTATAATGGAATCAATAAAAATTAATGATGTTATGAGCACTTGAAAGCAAGACATTTTGTTGATTTTATTTTCTTGAGCACTCCAAGGTCAAGGACACTCAACACAATTTTTTTTTAACCTGGTGGGGAATATAGCCAGCTTTATCCTCATCCATTTACCTTTCTAAAAATACATACATGGGTTTTTGTATCAATATTTCTATGTCCTTTAATGCTATTTCAAAAAGATCAAAAAGCTCTGAAAAGCTCCCACACTACAGAATGATCCATACCACAGTTCGTGGGTTAAGCAATCTTTTGAAAAATGTACAAATATATAATTACAAGCATTGAAATGAAATTTGAAGTTGATCCTAATATGCAATATATTTATGAAATGAACTTGAATACATAAATGATTTACAACAAATTTAATGTTGAACACTTACGCATATCCCATAAATCTTGGGGCAAATTTTTGAATTTGTGTCTTAAAAGCATTTGGAGAGACTGCAGCTTCCTTCTCTTTCCACATGGATTGCATTAGGTTAGCATATGCTGAGAACATATAGGAGAAGGTATTTATCAGGCTTATTTCAGAATCATTTCATAAATTAACAAAATTGACTTCATCATGAAAATAAATATTCTTAATTTATACATGATTTAAATTGAAGACAATTTCTGTTGGGAAATTAAGTCACTTAAATTTTTTTTTTCTAATTGATACTTCATTATAAACTAATGGTTAACAAAAAATATTCAATCTCAAATCTGGATATCCATCTGGACTTTAAAAAAAATTAGACCGAACAGTCAAGAGCACATACAAAACTAAAACAATCAGTATGCCTCTATGTCTCCACTACCTACACTGTAATATATTAATTTTACATGTTTAGTAGAAAAAGGTAGACATTTTCTAACAAAATGATTAGTAACTTAACAGAAGCAAACAGATTAATGTATATGTTTAAAGTATAGGTGTAGACCTTTAATAAGAATCCCTTTCATGTTGCTGGTAGAGGTGTTGATATCCAGGTGGTACTTTTCATCTAAACACCACTCCAGGAGTAGTCGGGTATTGCTGAGGCACTGGAGGACACTGTTCATAAAACACTGCAATGAACAATTTACATGATATCAGCCTACATTTTTATTCATGACAAGATGATTCATTAAGAGAAAATTGAATGACGTTTAATAGAGACATAGCCTTTTTTTTTTATATAACTTGCTTTTAAAAAATATAATGAAACAAATATGTCCCCTGCATGGGAATAAGATGAATTTGCATTTTAAAAAAGGATTCTTTTGTAAGACCTAATCTTGTTAAAAACTGAATTTAGGACATAGAGAATTTAATCTAAATACAGTAAAAGAACATATTTCATTTGTTTTCAGCATCCATCATCTAACCCATGAATTAACAAAGTGATTACAAAGTAGTTTCCTGATTAGCCAGCTTTACAAGTTTAAATACAGAAATATCTTTAAAGTTATGATAAGCATTGCTTGACCATCCACCCTATGAGCTCACAGATGGAAACACCCTCTGAAGGTCTTTATATATATAATGTTTGAAATTTCCCTTTTTTTTCTCGGGTTTTAAGTTTTGGAAAAAAAAATCGAAATAATGTTTTATGGAAGGTGGATTGTCAGATTCAAAGTAATAATACTACTTTTAAGAAAATGTAAGGATGTCGCTGACACATTAAATGAAGATTTGGAATAATAAAGAGCAGGTCATTTTTACTATGATTACTATTTTTACGTGCAATTGACAATGCAAACATTTTAGGCTTAAAACTGTTTAACATGGATTTTGGTGACAAACAATTTAAAACAACTATATATATAGAGAGATATTATCTACTACAACTATACACTGAAACAGAATATCTTTACCGTATTTCCAAGATTTCGTAGTCCAACTTTGCCTCCATCTTTATATTTGGCAGTCTGTAAAAGGAATTTGTTAAAAAAATGATAAATGAAAATATCAAATTTATCAAAACTTTCAACTATATTCAATGTAAATTCTTTAAGAATGCTTGAAACTTAAAAAGGAAACCATAATAATTTAAAAGGATGGGATTTATGAGGGAAATAATTGTGGATCAGTGGATTCTTGTTATTTTCGCAAAGTATTTTTCGATCAAATTAGATGTCTAAGATTTTGGTATTATATTTTTCTTCAGTAATTTTACACTTAAATAAATGATAATTTTATTTTAATGGACTCCTTAAACAACACTAAAAATCTTAAATCTTAAACTACAAAACATCATTTTAAAGTATGTAAAAGAATTTTTAAAATATGCTGAAATATAAATAATTATATATACGAGCTAAGAGACCCTTACACAGAATCTGAATTTGAAAATTTGTAAAGTCTGAAGGGGTTAAACATAAAGGTCTTCTAATAAGATAATATGAGACTACTTGTAATTACATTTTGAAAATAAATGAATAGGTAATTATTATTATTCTAAATGTGTAATCAATGGCAAAGACATATTTATAATTAGATTTCAATAGAATATAAGGTTGGTGCGAAGTAGCACATTTATATAATCTAATAAAATGGTTTACATTTTTTAAATATAATCTAGAATAAAATTATTAATCGATAAGAGACTGGATGCAAGCCTAATCAGACTTTATTATAAATCTATAATTTCTTTAAATAGACAAAACCAAAGTCCTCTCTTGGTGAAATATTTAAATACATGATTCATTCACTATATAACCAACTATTAAAAGATTAAACTTTTATAGACAACCAGAGAGTTATAACTAAACAATTAAGCAAGAAAAGAAACAATTATAGTGTAAGTAACAAAAAATTTAATAACAAAATTAAAAAGAATCTCAATTAATTGCTTGTCATAGCAATTATTTTAAGCCTTTAAAACAAGCTTTAAAGAATTTTGTTGAAACAAAAGAAATTTTAACACTGTGAAAGTCCAATCACCAATCATTTTGTTCAGACTTACTGAAACATAGTGGACTTTAGAAGAACTTGGATTGCTGGAGCTACTGTAAGAAGTAGACTACCCCAATTCGGAAAATGAATAGAAAATAATTTTTAAAATTTTTGAGCCCTGCCCTCAGACTACAAAAACTATGTGAGTGGTGCTTCAAAGACACCAGAGAGAACCATGAAAAGTGTTCAAACCATATAAATGAATGATGTGTAATTGGTAATTATTTAACAAAATCCTTTTGCTGAACAACAAGTTTAGATGACAAAAACATTTTTCCCATTGTTAAAATGTATTTAGCGTAAGTCAAAAACTCATGTCCAGCCATATTTTTTAAGAATGCTACTTAAAAAGAGCCAAAAAAAGTAGCCATAAACATATAACTCTCTTGACTTTTTATCAAGAGGCCCAAAATAAGTGTTGTATTTTCATTTATATAGTCAAATATTTATTACTTTAGTAAAAATAACTCTCTACATAAATACAGCATCAAAAACTTAGAAATACTTCAAAGATCTTATTTCCCTTTATTAATGATATCGTCAGTACTGTGTCAGAAAATAGCATTACCTGGGTCTCCATGTCCACTCTTATTCCTTATTTACTACACTAGAGAATTTAATTTTTAAATCAGATAAAATGTTGTTGGACTGATATAATCATACCTGCCTGGTTAATGAGATAAGATAGATAAAGATACATATTTGTTTTATCTAGGCCAATGAATAGTTAGTTGATTAAAGTTCTGCTATAATGGTTGCTTGGTTAGTAAAACAAGAGCAAAGCAGGTTTATACAAATAATGATTACAGGATATCAGAATTTTGCAATGGTATTAACTATAAAAAAAACATTTCTTTGCAAAATTGTGTCGCTATCATTATTGTACGTTTATAGTTGTTTCTGTATATTTTTCAAGCCTATTGAAATACAGCTATTATAATATTTTGTTAAACTCACCCCGTTAGACATTGAACTACTTGAACTTTGGTTGCTCAAAGATGACTTTGTGGGAGAATCACAACGATCTCCTGCTATTGTTCTGTGATATCTTGAAGCAGGAGCAGTTGGACTTGCTTCTCGAGACATGCTAGGAGTGTACCGTGTCCTAGACATGCCATCCAATCGTTCCCTCTCCAAATGTGAAGACTGACTAACATGGCCAAAAATATCATCTGAGATGGGGTCTCTATAACTTCCATTTCTGGATGATGCGTTTGAAGATCCCCTATCATTAAATACACTTGTCCCCCTATTCCTATTTGATGATGTATTAACATCTGTGCCTAAACTCAAAGCAGACAAATCAATTAAGCTTGATGATTTCCTTGGCCGATTAGACCCACTTGGGGGTCTAGATTTGATAGAACTGTCAAAAGTGGACCCAGTGCTGATGCCAGTTGACAGCTTTGATGCTGGAGGACGAGTTAAAGTGCCATAATCTCTACTATTACTATAATCTCTAGTTGCTGAATCAGAGAGATATCGATTAGAATAGCTGGAGACTGTCGATGTATGGTCAGCTTTAAGTGGGCCTGTGCGCATAATGACCCCATTTGGGGTCCTGTTCCGCCGAGACTCAGTGGATGTCACATTGAAGTTTGTTAATTTTCGTCCACTGGAATCAAGAGGTCCAGGGCCTGTTGGCAAAGGGCGGGTCCTAAAAGATAAATTAAGAACAATTAAAAGTTAAAAGGGGTCATAAAAATTAATAGCCTTTACTAATCAGTAAATCACAAAAACTTTACACATAATAAAAAAACAACTATTTAATTCAAGGGACCATTTTTTATTGATTAAAAATATAGTCAAATATTTTACTCCCATGTTTAATTTACCTGTAAGTGGAAGTGGATGGGCTGATAGTGGATGCATAGCCATTACTTAAACTGGTTTTTCTAGTACCAGAGGAAACACGCGCCACTGATGTAGATCCGGATCCATAAGAAGTTGAATAGGTTGTGTTAAACCCAAGCCTGTAAACAAACAAATAAATTTTATTGATATGGCTAACAGTTCAGTGTCGATAATATTGAAACTTTGATAAAACAACCCACAAGCCCCGTTGTTAAATGATAAAAATATCCTCCTTTCTTAAGCCTTGACATAGACTTAGAATGCCTAAATGCATCGATAATATGATTATATTTCTTAGACTTTTAAGTGCAAACGTTATGAAAGGCATAAAAAACTATTTGAAACTAAACTGAAAAGAAGTCCAGTGTTAGCATCTTGAGATGAAAATCATTATATTAGCAATGCAAATACAAGTCAAAATGAAACTGTTTATTTTTGTGCATTTTACACTGTAATCTGAGCCAGAGCAGCACATGCTGAATATTTTGTTAAAATCTAAAAATAGTGTCTTATAAAAACTAAGAATAATTAAGTGAAATAAATTCATAGAATTATAACATAATCAGAACTAGGACATATTTATATGTGTTATTGATACAAATTTTAAGCAATGGATATAATAGCTACCCTTTCACACAAATAATACCACCTTAAGTATTAAATAATAATTGATTAAAAAATTTCTGACCTGTTGTATGCCGCTGAAGACACTGGCATAGTGCTGAAATTACCTAAGTTGTGTAGTCTAGATACTGCATGATTCTAGATGGGAAAAAATAAACATTTAATTTTAAAAATGAATGAAAGAAATTAATAAAGATTTACAGCTTTTAGCATATCATTTTTTCCTAAAGTTCAAACAGTTTTCTTACCAGGATTGAGATTATTTAAATCAACTGAATTAAATTTTTAAAAATTATTTGTATAGATTTTTTAATCATACTTGTATTTAATCATCAAATCTATTTATATTTAATGGCCCTTGCCAAAAAAAACAACATAAGTTTGTTTTTATGTATTATTAGTCATATAATTTATTAATATTTCAAATTATTTAATCAGAAGGCTTTGGTGGAATCAAATGACATTGACGAATGACAATATTATGAAATTGATGTTAAAAATTTGAAAGTGTAAAACTGGAACTTAATTGAAATTCTTATTCAAACAGATTAGATAGAGACTATAATATTATTAATATTAAAACTATGAATATTGTTAGTTAAAAGTTTAAAAAACTTTGTTTTAGTTAATTATTTGATATTTCATAATCATTTTAATTTTTATAAGATAAAATACTATTCTGATTTTGATCCAAATAATTAATTTTTTTAATATTTTGTACATATTCACTTTAAGCATTTAAATAAATAAGTATTTTAACCAGGACAATGTTTTACAATAAAAAGAATATAGTGAGAAATGTCAGAGTAGGAAAAAGTATAAACATCCTTGATTTAATTGAGATTTTATTAAATTTTCTAACATTATTTCAAGTAATTAAAAAAAAATTTAATAGATGTATCTTAAAATCCATTTTAAGTCCCCACTCTTCGCCCTCTCCACAAGTGAATTAAATATTATTAAATATATAATATTTAATCTTTATAAAAATTAATATGCTTCAAGCAAATTCTTAACAAAAAGAATCTATTAAAATTTTTTGAATTCGGATATAAATGAAAAAAAAAACAATGATCCAACATGAATTTTAAAAATTCATTTAAATTCTATAAATAAATGAATTTCAAGAGAAAAAAAAATCTGATTTAAATCTAAAATACTGTAATCAATATTATGTTTAATCTTTATAAACATTAAAATACTTCAAAATTTAAAGAAATCTTTTAAAAAAAGAAGAAGAAAAAAATTAACTGAAACTTTTAAAATCCTATTTAAATCAATTAAATTTGATTTAAATCAAATAAATCCAATTTTAAATTTTTTTTTTTTAAATTACGATTTTTATTAACCCAGTTTTGTTTCCACAGAGACTATAAAGAAAAGAGTACAAACGCAAAAGTAAAGCTGTGTATCAGTTAATTCTTACTGTAGGGTCTTTAAGAAACTCTCTATTTCAGAATGGGTATAACTCAACATAATTTTTAATTTTTAATAGTAGGGCATAACCTATTTTTTATCAGGAAGTCAGGTTTCTTTGAATAGTGAAAAATTCTAATTAATTTGAGTTGACCAATGTGGGCTAATTAATTCTGATGTTTACTTTGTTAAAAGATATAATCTTGGCACTCAATACTCAGTGCACAGACTAGCTAGCCTCAAAAGACATGCATAATGTTTAAAGTGACTTTATAATCTTCTATAAATATAAAAATTTCTGACCAATTTTTTTAAAAAGTTTTGGTTTCAAAACATGCCAATAAAATTACCCCATGAAGTGATGGTTACTGATATTGCACTTACAGTAGGACAGTAATCATTTAGTCCTTGCAGTATACTCTTTCTTTTTCCTTCAGTGCATTCTACACAACAATGGATTTAATACAGTTTTATATTAAAATTCTGAAGACAAGATAATTGAATTATCGTATATCAAATTATCATATCAGTAATCCAAGAGATAGGTGCCAAAATCTGGAGAAAAAAGCTGATCGGTTATGCCCTACTTTAAAAATATTTATTATATAGGCCTACTCTAATATTTTTAAATATTAATACAAATTATTTTCATTAGACTACAGTACAGTCCAGGGTAAAATAGTAGGTCAACTTCAACTACCCTGTCACAAAGACAAAAACAAAAAAAACGCAAAACACAAGGAACTCCACTCAAATTGACATTACACTACACTATACACACAATACACTCTACACACAAACTGTCTCCTATAATTTTTTGCTTTATTATTTTGACTGGATACGATTGAAAATTTTACAATTAAAATTATACGTAATATTAATAATAATATAGGCATAGGAGGCCAAACTAAACTATTTTTATTATAAATAATGTACAAAATAAAATATAGCCTGAGGTTTTAATAGTTTTAACTTTTAAATATTAATTTTAACTCATCCGATGCGGAACAATGCACACTGCGTTCATCCGCCGTTCTCAAAAGCACTGACAACGAACTCTTCGTTGTTTCAATATCATGTTTGTTTTGTTGATATTTCTCTGCTAAACTTTTTAAGAGACACTTTCAAATTAGATTTTTACATAGAAGAGTGGTGCTTCATTGTTTATCAGGGAAACAAAGGTTTATTTGTTGTCATTTGAAGCATTATTTTAATGATTTTCGTCACTTTTTTTCAACTGTTATGTTGTTAAGGGTACTCTAGGCCCTAGTAGGTGAGTAAGTTTCCTAGACGATTAACAGCTCAAAAAGCTTTGGAATTGTATTATACTATTTCTTTTGCTAGCGAAAATAATTTATATTTAGACTCGTTCGATGATTCCGATAATAGTAGTTTTAGAGGATTTGAGTTATAGAAGTGAAGATTAGGTATGCATACATCATAGGGTTCGGGGAAAAAATGATTTCGCATAAAATGTTTTCACATTTTATGGTTCTTTTCTCAGTTTCTGTAACTTATTTTATTTAAACTGAAGAAATAAGTTTACAAACATATATCATATAGACCTTTCAATTATATTTCATTTGATACCAAATTTAGTCTTATAAACCAAAGTTGAAAGAATAATATTTTAAATATTTTTTTAATAAATGAAAATGAAAATAAAAAATTCTGCAGCGAAAGAGTGAAATAGTAACTATAACCAGGCCTAGGTTAAGAAATAAACATGATTTGTATTTATAGCTTTTATAGGATTATAGATAATATTAATTTTTATAGGGCCTTATAGCGCCCTTATTCTAATTAATTTAATACTAATAATAATTGAACTTATTGATACTCATAATTGAATTGTGATACAACAAAAGTGAAAGTTCACTGAAAGCCAAATGAAAAGGTGGTTTGGATGAGCCAGCCAATGAGTTGTGTTAAAGGCTTTTCTCGTGTTAAAACAGAGTAAGTGTAGTGTAGTGATAAGTAAATAAGTTAGTAGTTAGTAGCTTAGACTTACGCAGTACTGTACCTTCTTAATCTCATTCTTTAACTTTTTATCTATATTTTAATAATTAGTTGTTTTTTTTAAATTTATTATTCTCATCAACTTCTTACCAAAACAATAAAATTGCGAAAGATAAAGATCACACTGAGCACAATTTCAAACTCTTCTTATGTGCTGAAACAATGTATACTATCACAGACATAATGGCGAAGCTTAGGGATAAAAAGGGCATTTTATCAATGTGACATTGCCACTATGAAAATATAGAAGACTTTTTTTACCCAGCCGACGCCATTTTTCTATGTGACGTGAAAATTTATTTTTGGTAAGTCGCTATGGTAACAATTCTAATAGGAAAATAAAATAATGCATTACATCAATTTTTCATCCACTTGATTTATTACCAACATAATTGTGTACATTGTTGAAATCTAGACTTTTTAATTTTAAAAAGTATTTATATTGTGAAAAAATAGTCAGCAGCAAATATTTTCCTGTCATCGAAATATGCCGCAAACAAATTATATACTGGTAGTCGATGGTCTTAATTCCGATGCCGACATTCTATGACGTAGTACGCATACTAAGGACGCTAGAGTCAGGCAAAATCATAGTCATAATGTTTACGATTATGATATAATAATTTTACTTTTTCAATATTGTTTATGTCTGTATACTGCATGAACTGCTGCTTTGTTGGGGAGGTGACTGTATGGAACAGGGAGCTGTGCATTCAAGTGTACCATTTTATTGTAGCATTATTTTTTTATGGGTGATTGAAGTTTCAGAATTTAGAGGAGAAAGCAGATAGACCAGAGTCAGATAGAGAGAACTTGAGAAGAACTTGAGTATAGTTAATACAAGTTAATAATATTTAGTATATTATTTCTCATGCTTGCAGTTCAAGTTATCTTGACATTGCTCAGACACAGATGATTGCTGCATTGAAATTCAATGAAATTCAAATTTAAAATAAGGCAATTAACTCTTTCGCTGCAGAATTTTTGTATCGAAAAAAATTAAATTTTTTTAGAAGAGCGAAAAAGAGTGAGAGGTTGGGTTTATTAAAAAATATTTAAAATATTATTTTTTGGTTCATAAGACTAGACTTGGTATCAGATGAGAGATAATTGAAAGGACTATTTATTTGTAGTTGTAGACTTATTTCTTCAGTTTAAATAAAACAAGTTACAGAAAAGAACCATTAAAAAAATGTGATAACATTTTATGCTAAACCATTTTTTCCCCAAACCCTATGATGTATGCATACCTCATCTTCACTTCTATAACTCAAATCCTCTAAAACTACTACTATGGGAATCATGTGATGGATTTAAATATAAATCATCTTCACTAATAAATGAAATAGTATAAATTATACTATTTCATTTAATATAAAACAATTTCAAATAAAAGCTTTTTGAGTTGTTTATCGTCTAGGAAACTTACTTACCTACTACTACTAAGGCCTAGATTAGCCATAGAAACAGCAGAAAAAAATAACGAAGAAAATCATTAAAATAACAAAAAAATAAACCTTGGTTTTGCTTATAAACAATGAAGTACTACTTTTCTATGTAAAGGTCTAATTTGAAAGTAACTCTTAAAAAGTTTAACAGAGACATAACAAAGAAACAAACATGATATTGAAACAACGCAGAGCGCGTTGGTTAGTGCTTTTTAGAACGGCGGATGAACACACAGCGTGTTTTTCCGCAGTGAAAGAGTTAAACTAATTTAATAATTTATAGGCTATTATGTCTAATATTAATATATAAATTAAATATAAAATAATCATTGAGACGGGCTAAATTTATTTATAAATTATAAACTAAACTTAAATTACTTATACTTATTTAACTTATTTATAACTTATAACTTATATCATTATCATAGATATAGTTAGTATTTAGGCTACCATCTACCATATAAACTTGTTCTAAAGTTTAATGTCTGTTTTATTATAAGTTAACTCGTTTTATAGCCATTTTAATTGTTTCTATAGTATAGTAGTTACTATCCTGGTGTCTCTGGTTTTGGTCTCTGGAAAAAATTTTGCCGGTGTTAAAAATGACTGAATAGTGGCACCATCTTCTTACTCAAGTTCTGGGATTGTTGCATTTATTTTATGTGGTAAACAATGGCAGGAGCATGTGATTTAAAAATTGATGTTCAAATAAAAATTTCTAAAACATGACATTAAATCTTTAATTATTTTTTTTTAAAAAGGAAGTATCGGTAAAACAAATGATTAATTAAAGCAAGCCTAGGGTTACCATGTGTCCAGGTTTCGTCGGACATGTCCTCTTTTTAGGCCTCTGTCCAGACGGCTTTCAAGAAATATGGCTTCTTTCCTGGTTTTTCCCCTGTCTGTCCCAGATAGATATTTTCTTGCTTATTTTTCCATGTTATATACAATTCTGTTCCACGAACTAAACACCCTGGCCAGCAATAGTTGTATGGTAAGGGTTACTAAGGTAACAACTGAAACTTTAGGTTCCGGAAGCCATTTTTGTAAACTTAATGCATAACAGTAAGGCAAGTTCATAATAATTTATTTTTCAAGTTAAATTTTAAAATATTTTATTTTAAAATGCTGAAACGTGTCTATTTACTGACAAACTGTAAACTCAATACCTAGGTTTTCATGCAGGTCAATATGATGGGAAGTTGAATGTTTGACATCTGGCAGTAGAAGTTATAGTTATACCTCTGTTTCCAATAATACAATAAGGATTTAAATGGGGCACGGGGATAAAGACCATGCTCTGAAAAACTTCATCTACAAAAGTTACCAAATTTTTCATAACACCCTGGATTCGAAAAGCAGAGAATATGTATCAGCAGCTATTGGCGTTTCAAGATGACAAGCACGATCACAGCTATAAATCAATGAATCAATGGACTGCAGCTGTTGCTTATTTTTAAAAACAATGTTACCTGGTTCTGATATTGAACGCAAAAGTCAGTTAGTGTAAAGTAATGTGTACTGGGCACTCACTTAATACAAGATTGTAATTGAAATTATTTACAATAAGAACAATACCGGTATTTTATGTTGTTTTTAACTTCACTTTAATTTGTAACAACAGTTAACTTTGGCATAGGCTACAACTTGGCCCAAAGAGCTGGCTACGGGTTGGTAAACAGATTAGTTGAAAATTTTGAGTGTCCTCTTTTTCATCTGAGGACTTAGGGTAACCCTAGGTAAGCGCAGATGTTTATTAATATTTAAATAATAAGGTAACATATTTTGTTAATATGATAGAGTGTATGCAGTTGCATAGGAAGTTGGATGTTCTGCATGGGGGGGCACTTTGTCTGGAGTGGCTGCATTTTCTGCCAAATGCTGGGTTTGTTATTTTTTGTAGAATGGGCAGTAAGAGACTTTGCCTATGAATTAACTCGATCTATGCTACCAAACATAACGACCTAGGCAATCTACAATAGCAATTTCATTATTCAATGTTTCTGGAGAAAATTATAAAATCTCCTTATTGAACTTAATACCCTGAAATATTTTTTTTTAAAAGTCGGCTTTAGAACATGTATTTACGGAATTTTATATTTTAATTAATACAATGGTCTTATTTATAAAGTAGGCCTTAATTAGATCCTAATATTAGTGTAGTATAATTGGTAGCCTAACCAAAGTTACTAAATAAAATGACTTCTTTATGGCCTAAAATACTAAAAGTAGTTACAATAAATATTTAACTGAGAAATATACTCTGTTTGAAATCTTTTGTGCTAATCAATTAGAACAGGAGAGGCAAATCCCGCTAGCTTGTTGAAAAAAATGGCAAACTTTCTGTTGGTTTTATCCGGTGCTTGCTGTTTTACTTAAATTTCAGTAATTATTTTCCTGTCATTTCAGCTTTAAACACCATCACATGTTTAATAGTAATAATTAATTATTGTAATTATCTTCAACAGAAAAAGCAATGGATAATATAAACTCAGAATCCATGTCCAAACAGGCTCAACAAATTTGGGCAATGTTAGATGACATGTCAGAAAATGATCCATCAGCTTATAAGAAGTTTATTGAGCGCCAGTTGCAAGAAGGGAAAGAACATATTTCTCCCCCAGAACCTCATATGTGTGTGCAAGCTACATTAGTAGTAAGTAACTATTATAGTTTATTATTTTTGAGGGCATAAAGACCATTTTTTATATAAATTATGTATTTTGAAAAACTTTAATTTTAATTTTTTTTTGGATATAATCAATATTTTATTTTTGAAATATCATTTTTATTAGAATAAACGCTCTAAATCATTTCTCAGCAACAACAAAAGTTATATCAAAACTATGTATTTAAATTTAAGAAATAAAGAAGATAGAGCTCAATCGTAAATTGAGCAGAAGAGCAATTTAACAGTGGTGCATAACAATAACAGAGAACTTTCATTAACAATATTTTAAAAATGAGGAAATTCTTTAAAAAATTATTAATGAATGGAAGAATTATTCAAATGAGATCAAGCTATACTAATCTGGTAAAAAAAAAACAACAGAGAACCTGCTCAATACATGGTATGGTAGAGGAAAATCCTCAGGAAAATATATGTCCTAGTGATACTGTGATAGAAAATGATGTCTGGCGAATCCGTACAAACCAAGAGCTTTACCAATTGTACAAAGACCCCATAGTGGAAATAATTTTTAAAAGTCAAACTGCACTGGGCAGGACATGAAAGAATGCTGGATTGTAGAGCAGCAAAAGTTATATACAGGCAGAACCCTAGGGGCAGACGACTCACCGGTCGTCCAATACTGAGATGGATAGACAATGTAGAGAAGGATTTCCACCAGTTGGGGGTTCGCGCATGGAGGTGGAAAGCCATGGATCATTCCCAATGGAAGGATGTGGTGGAGCAGGCCAGAGCCCTACATGGGCTGTAGTGCCACTGATGATGATGACATATATTAATCTGACTTTGCACTGACACGGCTGCATCTATACATCAGATCCATTACCGTACCATATAATTGGAGCAACATACTGTGGAAAAATAGATGGAAGTTTAATACCTGACTTGATATCATATAGCCTTAAACCTGTACCCCTTATAATGCTTCCAAATACACTTTTAAATAACAGATTCCAGATGGTAATGAGGGGGAGAGACTGCAGTTGGGTTAGGTAAAAGGGTCAGGTTTTCCAAAACTTTATTTTTCTCATTTCCTAGATATTAGATGGAAGTATTGAAAGCTAATAGATGAACACTCATTACATCTGTAGCCCATGAGATAAGGAAAATTTGATAATAACATGTATTTAAATTAATTATATGTAGAGCAAGTTAACTAGCATTTATCGGCAAAGGGCACATTGTTTCTTAATGTAATGATTACAATTTATAATATTTCAGACAAAACCTTCTAAACCCTTGTTTATAAACTTTTGCTCCTGGAAGCGGATCCCAGAACCAAAGTCACCTCAAGATCCCGTGCCTGTTACAGGAACTAGACTTACACATGAAAAAGGCAAGTCTCTCAATCAGACAGAAAAATTTATTTTATTTTTAACATATCAGGTATTTTTAAAAAGATAAGAATTAGATCTATTCAGTCTTAGATGAAAGGAAATTGTTAAAATTTATTTTTCTATTTGTATACTTAATTATATTTGTTTGTATGTGGATAATTGGGGAGATTAATATGTTACTTGGATAATTTGATAACCATATTAATACATGAGGAGAGAATTATGCCTTTAGAGTGAGGTGTAAACAAAGCTGTCATTGTCATAATTAGCAAAAATAGAAAAGATTTTAAAATAAAAAGTTGCTTTTAATTTTTATTTGGATCTTTTCTTTTTTTTGTTAGAAGTTGCCGGTAACTTAATATTATAATTTAAAAAAATCAAGTTTGTTAAAGTCAAATTAGATTAAACAAGAATTTAAGCCTGCCATGCAAAATAGTGTAGGTCACTACTAATAGAGTAAGAATCCTTCTTTAACTCATTCAAGCTATGCTATTAGTAGTAATTTTTTACAATTTTGCATTAAGGTCTGTAGGACCTATAATCTCAATGGCTAAGGTCACATGGAACACTTTCCACATGCATAGGCAATGGCTCTGACATCTGTTCAAATATTTAGAGTCAATTCTAAATGTTAAAAGGATTGAGAAAGTCAAAAAGATTATTAGATTCCTGACTCTTAAAATTGAGATGATCTGGTACCTAGTAAAAGTATACAATCCTTACTTCAAAAGCACTGAGAATTTGTTCATTTTCTTTGCTCCTTTATGCAGATAAATTTATAATTTAAAAAATGGCAGTCGTTTCCTGTATTCTGATTACCGGGTACCTCACAACATTTTTGTTTTTTAAATGTAAAATACCTTGCATAAGAAACAAACCAAAAATTCAATGCTCACACTTTTATGGTAGTTTTTTTGTAACCAATACCTTAGTTGTGGGGCAATGCTTGAACTTATAACAAATTGCCCTATGCTATTTTAGATATTCATTTCTTTTCTTAAGGTGGTTTCTCTCTCACTTCCGTTGCATTCAACCCAAGAGTGTTAGAGGAGTACGGTCGTAATGCCAAAAACTCTGTAGATGGTGACACTCTTATACAGCTGGCTCTAGACTACATTGAAGCTGAACAGAAGGTCAAGGTCACACGCACCTATACTGTGCTACCAGTGGAGACGCCACACAAAGGTGACCTGAATCTCATCCAGCTCAGCTTTACCAAGTTAAACAAGCAGCAACCTCAGCCTCAAAATGATGTAGAGGAACTTGAAAAAATGTTTGGCCCGCTCTCAACAAGAGAGAAAGACAGTCTGCTTTACAAACTCACCAACATGGCTGGAAACGATGCCACAGACAAAGATGAACATCCCGACATTGTCTTATCTGGCATCCCAAGCACTCCAACCACCAGGGTTAAACTGATAGAAGAACTGAAAGATATCAAGTTGACAACACCAAAATATTCCCTGGAGCCCCTGGATGCTCCTAATGGTAGACAACTTGTGTTGAGAGTGGATCTGCCTGGTGTGAAGTCAGTTTCAGAGTGTGAATTAGATATTTCAGAGGTAATGCTTTTTTTTAAATGTAATTCTTTTAAGTACCGGTAACTGTTGATAGAGCAGATCATCCCAATGATTAAATATTGCCCTTGATGTACTATATTATTAGACATGTGGCACTTCACCTTTGAACATCTGTCCTGTCGATGGTATTGGGGAGAGTCATGTATTACACTCTGAAATCTGATTAAAAGATTTTTTGTATTGGAGGATGCATAGTCATTGGTGTCCCCAGAAGTAAAAAAATGCACACTCTTACAGCATTGTCCAAATTATTTGATATCATAATGATTACGATACTTAAATTTTGTCATGTTCTCTGGGTATGAAAATTAGACATTGTGTGTGTGTATTTAAGCACCGCAACCTGGGCATACAATAAATTGTGTATACACACATATACAGTAAGCCATCAATAATCTGGACTACTCAGTAACTAAGAAAATCTAGATTGCCCAAAGAGAAACAAAAATTATCAAAATGAGAATCGCATTGTGTTTTTAAGTGAATGCATTTGCATCTCTAAACTTTACTATAACAAAAAAAACATTCTGGGCAGCGTTATAATAGTAGTCTTTCACAAGTCACCCAGTAAACCTAGACCTCATTATTTAAAACACATAGGTTATTACTTTTTTAAAGTAAAATATTTTATGTGATCTGACAGTGACCGGCAATGGTGAAGGCGTATGTAGGTTTTTTTTTCTGGTTAATTCTTGTGAGCTTATAGTTTAATATTTAATTAACTGAACTGAAGCTTCCAGTTTAGCTATGAGAATTTAAAAAACGATTAAGTCGAGGTTAAGCCACAGTAGGTCCATATTATTAACGTATGACTGTATAAATATATATTTTCATAGTCGTTAAAAAATTATCTTGCTTTTTTTTCCCCCCTAAGGATGATGTAAAACTTGTTGTGCCTGGTCAGTATGAGCTAAAAATCAAATTGCCAAGTTGTATAGAAGATGAAGAATCCTGTGCCAAATTCAACAGAAAAACAAGTGTGTTAACATTGACTATGCCTGTTAAGACATAAATTGTTATTTAAATATTTTTATATAAACATAATATAAGTATGCCAATCACAAATATACTGGAGCTTTCAATTCTCAGATTATTCAATTCCACCTGAAATTCATTTCAGCTAAAAAAATATATACCAGGTATATAATTACATTTGTCATAATTGATATATTGGAACATTAAGTGCACAACATCTCCATGAAGTAAAAGTAAATTAACCTGCATTTTCTCTAGATAAACCATAGCACAAGCCAGAAACTAAATGATAGTTAAATTTATTGATTTAAATCAAGCTCATTCATAAGTAGTATGAAAAGCTTACTAAATAAAAAAAATAATCTATGTGACCAAACGCTTGATTTCCATCTAATCTTATTTCTACTGCTTATAAAATCATAAAAAGATTGTTTAGATGTACCCGGTAGGTGAAAACCAATTCAACTGCAAGTTATTGCTGAAAACTCTCAGTGTGTGTTACTGTTAGCATAATTAAGTACATTTATGTAAATAATCACTTGTTGATGTTTCTGAAAAGTCTTGTTCGGATAAATAAAGATTTATATTTTTGTTAATTTTGTTCTCACACATTCATCAAAGTTGTCTTAACTGTATATTCCATTACTTATTTGTGTAATAATGTTCTAATTTAATAGTAATAGTAATACTAACACCTTTGATCTGAAATTTAAAACTCATTAAATTGCATTAGTGTTTCTTCTGTCCTAATTAGTAATTTGGGCACCCGGTTTTTCAAATGAAAACTAAAAATATTATGCATGCACTCCAAATTGGTCCAGATTTACAACTAAAATATTATGTTTATTCTATAGATATTGGAGTATAAGTGGTACACAAAATAGTAAATTATTAGTAACTTATGATTAAGTCAGGTAACTGGGATGAGCTCTAAACAATTTTGATTAATGATTTATACTCATAACAGACTAATGAAAGAAATTTAACTTAGTAAAAAATATTTAAAAACACATTTCCTTTAAAATAAAATTTCAAAGTCATAGACTTTAATCAAGTGTAACAATTAAAATATATATATATTAACCTTTTCATTACTGCTGGTTTTGGCATCGATTTTTGCTGACTAGTCTAGGCAATTAAAAAATTTTAAGATGAAACTTCCGGTATTATTTCCTTCTCTATCAAATTCACTTATTAACTTCTCTATAGATAACAAATAAAGAAATATATAGCATTGAAATATGACGTCGACGTGACGTCCTTGGTATTTCAGAAAAGTTATTTGCCTATTTGTTATGACGACAATGTGACGTCCTTGCTAATTAAAAGTGGGAGTCGACGTCATCTGTAACGAAAACGGTTAAGTGACTAGTGCTAAAAGTACTTAAGTCACATTTTGTCAAAAATGAATCTAAACTTTGACTTTTTCTAATCCATTTTAACCAAGTGCACTGCAGAAATTCGAACACATCAAAATGTGCCGAAGGCCATAATTAAACATAACAAAACATGAAATTGATCACATTTTATAGACGAAAATCATAATTGAACTTTATTTCAAAATGTGTATTTTGTGACTCAAGTACTTTTAGCACTTAAATCTTCAAATTCAAAATAAATTGTGTACGTGTGTGGATAACTGCATCCAAATTAATGTGTTATTCAAGCGTAGACTCTTTTAAGTTTTGTGAGTTAACAAATATTATTATTATTCATGAGAATATTCTTAAATTTCATAAGTATCATAAAAAGATTTTTGACAGTAAAATCTTCTACTGCTCATCCTTGCATCTCATCTACAAATTTAACAGAACACATTTCATTCATAATAACCAAGTATTTATTACCTTTTAGAGACACATCATGTTTTCACCGACATATAAAAACAAGATTAACTTTGATAACATTTAACTTGATTACTTGTATGTAATTTTTCTTAGATAACCACATGTACACAGTTCTAGAAAAATTCACTCATCACAGTTGCAACAGCTTATCAAAAACCTTCAAATGGGTCATATTTTGCAGAATCAGCTTGCGCCTCTAACAGACGTTTCTCCTCTGCCTTCCGTTCTGCCTCAACTGCTTCCTTTATCTTGGCCTTTTCTTGAGCACTAGGTCCTGGCCATACTAGAGCAGGTTCTATAGAGAGAAAGAATTTATTAGCATAAGCAGAGAGCAAAAACGTTTTTTTAATTACACAAATAAATGTAATGGTTACTCTTTTAGAATTCCCAAGACTGCATTGCTGTTATAATATTCAAACTCTACCAAATGTTTTATTTTCAGTAGGCTAATTCTTTATATTTCATCAAACACTTATGTCACATTGCTAATCACAATCCATGTACGGAACACACCAAGTCAATCTAATTCTAAGGCAGATTTGGCACCTCTCAATAATCAAAGATTGTAAAACTTGAAGTTACAACAAATATTTTGATTAGATCTCTGACTTCAAAATTTCAATTAGATTGTTAACTAATTTAGATATATATAAGAATAATACGTTCTCACAGGCTCACAAAATATAAAATGTTAGCCCTTTCACTCCTTTGAAATATGGACGTGGCTGTTCTAGTAATAAAGTTTTACCTGTAAAGTTAAATGTTGGAAACTGAGTCATGTCAACACCTTTAGCTCCAAATGCCCTTTCCAGGTTACCAAGCACTTCTTTTAGAGATGCCTCTGATTCTGGGGTTGCATCCACCAACTTTCCATTTTGAGATCTGTAGCAAAATAAAAATTGTAAAAAATATTGACATTATCTTATCCACTTGCATTGTTATTTAGAACCAGAATGGTGCAGATCTATATTAAGTGTGGTTAGAAATCTTCTTTATTCCACACACACAAAAAAAACACAAATGTGGCAAATGAAAAATAAAATTAACTTTACTATATATACATCAACAAATTTTTAAACTAAATAAAATCAACAAATAAGCTGCTTGATTAAACCAAATTATATTAAAGCAAAATTTGAATTTTTTTCCTAAAGAAGATGCTAAAATTTTGGTTCAGTTCTTGTATTTGAGACACACTTCACCTCTTACTCTTACCCTAAATTTGGAATCTTTATTTGGCTTGTTGAATCCCATCACAAATAATAAAATCTCTAGGCATGTAATACATGGATTTATAGCTGTAAAACTGAGTTCAATAGGTGGTGTCCAAAATAAAGTGTGATATTTAAATGCGTGTTTTGTATGTAACTTTAATTGATGGGGAGTTCATGCAAAGCAGCCGCCATTGTTTGTCATGTTATTTCCTTTCTTCTTTGCTTTTTTCAACTGAAAATTGGGAAGGAAATTATAAAGTCATATTATTATCCATTGTAATACATGCACTTTAATCAGCACACAAAAATTACTCACTTGTTGCGATAGTCTCTAATCTTGTCAAGAAACAATTGTTGTATAGGATCTTGGTTGTGTACTACAGCAGTAATTCCCAAATTCCTTTGAGTAGCAGCATTCGCTATGGGCACAATTTTTTGAAGTACTTGACGCAACATTTTGGCCTATCAAAATAAAAAAAATTTAAATATAACTACATAAAATTACATGTTTCAAAACGTTGATGTGGTAAATAATTTTATTATGAATATACAGTGGAGCTTGGATTTTTTCATTATCCAAAACATGGTTATCGGAATAGCCCAAGTAATTTATAATATATGTTTGTAATAAAGTAGTAGCCAAAAACTAAATAAACAAAATTTGACCACTAAATGTGGAGGACTAACGAACATTACAACCAAAAAAACGCATTACGGGTACTTCAAAAACTACTATATTTAATTTATTTTTATTTCATTTCTATTAAAGATACAAATGTAAGTCTATTATTCTTGGGGAATTTTGTTTTTACTGACCACTAAAAAGACTGTAAATCTCAATTTATAAGAGGAAGGAAGCATTGCCTTCTACCTATCGCATATTAGTCTAGCTGCTAGGGTATATTTTGCTCTACCCAACAGGCAACACTACCATTAATAATAAACTAGTGACTGGGTGGGACAAGTTGAGCACTAGGTGAAATTGGGATTTCTGAGAGCTCAACTTATTATTGCGACAATGCGTATGTGCAATAAATTTAACACTTCCTTTTCCGCCCTTTTGCAGAAAATACCATTTTCATCAGATAATAACTTAATTATTTTAAATTTCAAAATATTTAATAATAGTCGTCAATAATTTCGATGCGTAGTATCAAACCTGCAACCAAGACTACATGAAAAAAAGGGGGGGGGATATATAATTTTATATGAACCCATTGCCGGTATTTCACTGAATAAAAGCACATTTGTATACTTTTCACAATAAAAGCATCAAATGACAAAAATTAATTAAATAAATTTATTATGTAAACATTTAACTGTGGTATGTAAAATTGAAGGCCGGTGAGGGGTAGGGTAAGATGACCCCTAAGCATATTATGCAATGTGCAAAATTGAGCATAGTGACTATTACAGGCTATCCCTCAGATATTTAATATGTCAGAACACCAAAGACTGAAGAAGAGAGAGATCACCCAGGATTGCCAACCTTGCCCCGGGAAGTCAAGTTACATAGGTTTTCTTTTTAAAATGCAGTGCAATTGCAGACACAAATGTCAATTGTATTGCACATGACCACAATAACAAATTTAGATTTGTGGCATCATCCTAATGCACCACTTCCTGTCGGACCCGATTTTTTTGTTGTTGCTTTTTTATTTTTATGACGGGTGAAAAATTATATTGTTCGGAAAATCGTGATTTTAAGGGGTTTGTCGGAAGGTCGGAATGAGGGGTAAAAAATCTGTATAATTCTGACAAAATCGGAAGGGTTGGCAGGTCTGACATAGCGCCTGGTGCAAAATTGAACATAGCTAATAGCTGGATATCGCTCAGATATTGAATATGGGAGAATATGCTGTTATGTAAACACAGGTACTGTGCAGCGCAATTACTTAATGGACATTTATTAGATATTTCGATAGATTTATTTATAATCTGGTGACAACAGTACAGATTGTTGTCTGCTAGAGTGTGGAAACAGGAAGTTATCCACACGTGTTGATTGTGTGCTCTACAATTATTTATAGGGACTCAACTCGCCCCATCCAGTCACTTTGAAAAGTTTTGAGTGTAGTAAGTAAGTAGATTTAGCTTTTTGACCACAACCACTGTTACTGTTGTTAGTGTTACGAGTGTTGTTAGTGTTAGTAGCTAATTTCACAGCAACTTAGCTAAAGATTAAGTTGAGAAAGTAAATTCTCATTTTTATTTATAATATTTGGTAAATGTTGAGAAATCTCCCTGGGGTTTCTGCCATCTTGGTTGACACAACCAGTTAATTCTGTCACTAAACTAAACCTTAACTAAATGCACCCCTATGCCTAACCTAAACCCTAAGCCTACATGGATCTCTCAACCTCACTGCCTCACCTAAACCCTAATTCAAGTAATTCACTGCAACTATAATAAACATGCAAATGACGTCACGGGGATGATACTCAACATTAGCCTAATATTATATGTTATAAACAGGGATATTCCTTTGAAATTTTTCTTAAATTGAAAAGTAAGCTTTAAAATTGTTTCAAGTGTGCGCTACTTGGCAAGACTATAAAAAGTCAAGTCAAGACGTCTCAAGTCATACTCTGAATTGCTTATTTAGTCTTTATCGTTGAAGACTAAATGAAATTTCTCGAAACAAATTACAAGCTAGTGCTTTTTCTAAGTCTTTAGTTATACATGCAAATATGTCATGGTGAAAACAGTTCAAATATTAAAAAGTTTCAAAAAATTTAGTATGACCTTACCAAATTTTTCAAGGCAACACTGTCGACGGCAGATCTTCAAGTAGAGAAATTAAGAAAATAAGGATTATTGGATTCCGCAATCCTAATTATATTTCGCACATTATAATTAAATTCAAAATTAATTTATCGGATTTTTAACAAAAACATTTATGTGTATATATATAAATATATATATATATATGTATATACTAGCAAAATACCCGCGCTTCGCAGCGAAGAGCATTTTTTAAAGAAAAAAAGGCAAGAAATTATCAAGTATCCGCTTATTCCAGAGACTATACAATGCATTCCCTTGCGAAAATAAATCCTGCCTCAAATTAAAATCAATGCCAAGTTTTTGTAAGGTACGTCCTTGGGACCCCGATCCTGGTAAAGCCCAAAATGCTAATGAGTCCCCATACTCATTCTGAACCCTATTCCGGCGTAATCCCTTAACCCGGTGTGATCCCGTTCCCAGTGGTGTGTGGGATCCTATTTTCTTGTGACTCCGGATTAGACCTGCCTGCCTAATTTTTTTTAGCCGGATTTCTCCGTAAGTTGACATTTGCGGCTGATTTTCGGCTGAATACGAAATAATCGGCTGAAATTCGACTGAAGCCTGGCCATTCATGAAGTAATAAAACTTCAGCAATAAAACACTTTTACAATACTTCATAAAAAGTTTTATTTTTTCAAACAATAGGAAACAAAAAGTTGTATATGCTGTCCTTCTAATACAGTGCATGGAATGAATGCATTTACCTAAATGCATCATATAGAATTGTTACATTAGAAATGATATAACATAAAAGTCATCAGTTATTGACTTAGACTTAACTAGTATCTAGTTAATCGAAACAATTAATTTAGACTTACCTTTCTACTAGTAGAAGTAGAAGATCGTTGAGCCATAATTGAGTAATAATAAATCGTATATTTACGACAAAGATTAACGATATCTTAAATTTATTTATTTTATTTATTTATTTTAATTAGTATTTAATTAATTAAAGTTGTAAGATAAAGCTAACTCGCAAGAACTGTATAAATAACTCGGGTTTTTTTTTTCAAACTTCTGGCGACAGTTCATCTAAAAATGCAATCGATCTTAAAACAGAACGCCATGAAATTTAAGAAAGCAAAAACATTACGTTACGGCGACTCGTTCATTTTTCGGCGGATTTACGGCGGACGAAATACGGCGGCTAATGCGACGCGCCGCATATTTTCCGGCGGATTTTTGGCGGACGAAAATTGGGCGGCGTATTCGGCGCGTGGTGTCGGCTGAGGGGTCTACTCCGGATCCAGGGGGAATCCAGATCCCATTGGGATCCCGATCCCGTCGGTGTCTTGATCCCAGTGGGATCCCGATCTCAGTGGATTCCGATGGGCTACCGATCCCGTTAGGATATCGTTCTCTGTGGGATCCCGTTCCACCTAGGGACTCTCTTTTCCGATGTTATCCCTTTTCCTGAAAGGATCCTGATCCCGGTTTGATCCCGTTACCCGATGGGATCTTGATGGTATCCTGTTCCCCGATGGGATCGCATAACCGCTGGGCCCCATTAGGATCCTGTTTCTCTATGGGATCATGTTCAGTGCGTTTTTTTTTTTTAAATAAGCTTTTAGGTCTAATTATGTATCCCCGTAGAACAATATAGAACATTCTAGATTAAATGTAATATCCTCCATGAAACGTGTAAAAAATTTTACTTTTGGACGTAATTATTTCTCGAATGCGAAATATTATGAAACTATATTGTACTACTATAAATATAGTACATTTAAATTGATATAGGCTATAGGGGCCCCGGTGGGGGCCATTTAATAAAGTACCATTTTTAGTTACGTCTGAGAAGAAAAAAAAAGGGGTGGGGGGGTTGCTATAAAAAATTTTCAGATAAATTATAGATTTAAATTTGTCCTATTAAAATTGGTTTTAAAATGCCATAGATATAGCTTTTTTTTAATTATCGAAGTTTCTTGAAAATTCTAGATAGGCACTGAATGGATTGGATATTATTAGTTTTAAATCTACCGATATTTTAATATGGGCTAAGAAGGATATTGCTACAAAGCTAGGCCTAGATCCACCAATTCACATAGAACCTATAGTGTTGTGTAACCCTATTGATATTTATATCTTATATTGATTTTTATACAACGTAAGTATTTGTATGACAAAGGCTGGGATGAGACTCGTTGTAATGAAGTATTCATTCAGTATTGCCAGAATTTATAATATGAATTTTGGAATGTGAAATGATTCTAATAATAATGTGGGTTAAACTTGGGAAACATACTGTCCACTGACTTATGTGTTGGGGTGGGGTGGGGAGAGGCTTCCACTGACCTTAAAATTGACAAAATCTTTAAATATACATTAACAATATGGGCAGCATGATGTCTCTAGAAGTGTGAGTCTCCTGGTAGAGTGAGGCATGCTAGAAGAATGAGCCCCCCCCTTCCCTAGAAAGGTGAGGCCCGCTGGAAAAGTGAAACCCCCTAGAAGAGTGAGCCCTACTAGAAAAGTGAGGCCCGCTAGAAAAGTGAGGCCCCCTAGAAGAGTGAGGCCTGCTAGAACAGTGGGGCCCCTTAAAAGACTGAGGACCCTTAGATGATAGAAGTCGCTAGAACAGTGAGGCCCCCTAGAAGAATGGGGCACCTTAAGAGAGTGAAGTCCATTAGAAGAGTGAGGCCCCCTAGAAGAGTGAGGTCTGCTAGAAGAGTGAGGCAAGTGCCCAGTGGCCGACGCCTTATGAATGCACTGATCTATGCTTGTAAACGTTACCGGGTAATTAGAACAAAGGAACTGGTAGAACACGTTGGCCACTATCTGATTCCCTTGTAAGACATGTTCGTTTCTTTTTTTTTTAAATCCTTTATATTAAATTCGCTTTTTTCGTGGCAGGTTGTCAAAGTTTATGGATGGCTAATTGATCCACTTCCCGTCAACCTATCGAGCTGAAACTTGGCCCATAGACTCGTTGCCGATGACAATACATTCTTTCAAATTTTCAGCCCCACCCCCAACACCAACCCCGTTAAATCCCCTTTTCCTTTTTTTAAAGGGCAAGATGAAAAAAATATGATGCCACTGATTTCACGAAATAAAATTCCCACTAACTGCGCTACATGAGATTCTTAAAATATATACATTTTTATCGCCAATGCGTTTGGTGCGAAATATTTTCTTTTGTTTTGTGTTTCTCTGAAATAGTTATGGAGATAAATCCGCGGTATAAATGCGGGTGGGACAATAAACGATTAAAATAGTTCAGTGGGGTGAACAAAAAAAATGTGCGGTTGCGAGCCTTGGGGGTTGCGGTTGGGGAGGGGGGCAGTAATTGGGATTCTTATAAAGTGGGTTACTTGTAAGCATGTGTAAAAATAATGTTTTGGGCAATGTTCAGCCTATTTTGTTGACACAAGATTAGGCTTAAACTATGGTGTTATAGTCGTGTAAAGATTAGGCTTAAACTATGGTGTTATAGTCGTGTAAAGATTAGGCTTAAACTATGGTGTTATAGTCGTGTAAAGATTAGGCTTAAACTATGGTGTTATAGTCGTGTAAAGATTAGGCTTAAACTATAATGTTATTGATGACTCAGGACTAGGCTTAAACTATAGAGTTATAGTCGACTCAAGATTAGGCTTAAACTTAATCTATTGTGTTACAGAGTCAAGAATAGGCTTAAACGTGAGTGTCATAGTCGAATCAAGATTAGGCTTAAACTCTGGTGCTGTAGTCGACTCAAGATTAGGCTTTAACTCTGGTGCTATAGTCGACTCAATAGTTAAACTGAGATGCATAACAGATCGACTCACGCTCAAATACCATATTTCTTTTTTAAATATATTCACTTATGTTTGCTCTGTGATAAATCTATTAATCACAAAAGGAGACAAAAAATGACTCTAGGATTTGTGCACTTCCACGGCAATCTTTTATTCTCTACGCATATAGACACGTTATTATTCTGTTTCGTCATGGCGACGTTAAAAAATCCCCCAAAAAGATGTTAAAATAGAGGAAATATTCAGTCCCACCTTGTCATAACTGAACGGGTTTTTTTGAGGGAATACACCGGGGGGGGGGGGGGAAGACAAGTGCCCCCCACCCGGAGCAAAATGTGTACAACATAAAGATTGTAGGCCTATATAATTTTTTTTATTAAAATGACTAAATTGTCTTTTTTAAACAGTGTTAAAAACATTAATATAATATATGTTTGCCTTTAAACGATTAGAGTTAGTGGAATATCTGAAATATCGCTACGCTGGATATATTTGATAATCAGTAGGCCTATAGTTAAGACTATTCTTGTTAAAGGCGTAGGCCTATAGCATTCTATTATAAATATCGCACTGGCCGCTTCAGTTTATAAATTTTCCGTAGTTCGCATATATCGGTATTTCTATTCAATTATTTCGTGCCACTTCACAAGTTTAAAGATTTAAATAACACTTTTTGTAATTCGAAGTGGCTATTCGTACCCGGGTACCAGAAGTGAGAGATTGGGATTAAAAAACAACTATTAAAAATTTAAGTGTTGGGTTTGTAAGACAAAATGAGGTATCAAATGAAAGATAGTTGAATGGACTAAATGTTGTAAACTTAATTCTTCAGTTTAACTAAAATAAACTACCACAAATGACATTCGAATAGCATTGAGTCTAAAGGGATCCGGGTCCGAATAGCTAGTGATGATAAGCCAGTAGAAAAAAATATATATAAAGAACTTGAAAAAAAAAATAGAATTTCGATTATCTTGCAAACTCCATTTTATTTTGGTAGTAGTTAAAAATAAATTCTATCGAATTGGTACTTTTGGGAATTTACACTTTATTTTAATACGTTTTTCCTCACAAAAAAATCACACAATAATACATATATGATATCTTTTGTAAGCAACTCATGTGTTCTTAACATAATTATGCCGGTTAAATACGATTTTTAAAAGATACCAATTTTTGAAAATCCAT